AAAAAAATTATGAGGGCATTTACGTCTGTGAAGTTTGCGTGAAGCGAAAAATACCTATTCCAACCGAGTTTCATGCCATCACCACGGAGGTAAGGTAGGCAATTTTTTATAGGAAGAAAAAAATTAAGATTAACTATATGGTACAATTTTAAAAATAATATTTTTCAAATATTATTTAGTAGTATTTACAGTTAATATTTGTTTCATTTGCACCGCGTCCCAGCCAGCCAAGGTGGGATTTTGTCAATTCCGTGGCAGGCTACGTGTAAGGTCATCACCTTCACATTCTCACCTAACGTAGACGGCTTTGCATCCAAACTTGTATAGGTTTAACAGCCTTCTTCTTTCTTTCCTTTTTTTTTTTTTAATTTGTCTACCAGAAAAACAAAGTCTAATCTATCATGCGCAGACTGCATTTTTCATAACCATTAACAGAAAATAGACCCCTGATATTAGGAAGAACCGAAGTTCACCAATACTTGGACAAAAAAAAATTGAAGGGACCCACTGAATGAGCAATCTTTTTGATCCAGACCATTAACTTAGTCAACAAAGAATCACTTGCAGAGGACGTGGGTACAGCTAATTCACCAATGCAAAATTTGTGATCAATATTCAGTATTAGAATGAGCGTGTTCTTTTCATGGTGATGGCGTAATCCTCACATGATTTGACCGCAAATGTTATGTTGAGCCTGACTGATTTGCCGTCTGCGTGATGAACGATCAAACATTTCATTTGTTGAGGCCTTAAGAGCAGCAGCATAAGAGGCTTAAATGCAGCAAGTCAATAGAAGCTCACCAGCATTTCATGGTCCCCCATGATCTCTTCTATTAGCCCTTGCAGTGGTTTGTCCGCACTGTTTGGGACCAGAGCTGCAAACACTGCTGCCTCTAGTCCTGTATTTAATAATGAAAGCAACATTTCATTTTCATATGATCATGTCCCTTGCAATGCAGAATAAAATAAGTGGCAGTCTCCATTTGGCCCGGTACCATCAAGGCATCAATGTCAAAGTTTTAATGCGTCCAATCCCATAACTTCTGGAAAATTATTGACCTTAAAAAACTTGAGACATCCTTTTCGTTTTGGATTTAAAGAGATCATTTCCATGTTGAGTGAATACCAAGACAAGAAACTTTCAGATACCTGCATCTGGGAAGGCATCAATGAACATCATCATCTCCTCCCCGGTAAGACCAGATAAGAAGCAGATCCTTGGCAATGACTTTGCAATCTGCAGAAAGGCAAAGTATAATACACAGAATAGAGATGCATATCTCAAGACATTTCTGCATTGAAATGTTGATCAAGCTTCAAAATACCTTTTTGATGGTTAAGGCAAAGCAGGGGAAACAGAATAAAAGATTGTGAACAAGAAAGATTCAGAAATATGGTTGAAAATGGCCACCTTCACTTCTTCTAAATTTGGTTGTCTGGTGTTCATAGCTTCCCAAAGTGAGCAAGAAATCATGTCTTCAGTACAGCAAATAACCTAAAAGAGTAAATATTTAACCAGGGGAAAAAAACATTTCACAAAATGTTTGAATAAAGCAAATCCATATCTCCTCCTTTTCCAATGTCAATTTGTGGGAATAAGAAAGGTTAAAACCCCTTTTTGGTCCCTCTATTTTAACAAAAAGCCCGTTTTTAGCCCCTTTTCTTAAGAAAGCCCCTTTTTAGTCCATTTTCTTAAGAAAGAACCTTTTTAATCCCTAAAGTTTATTATTAGGCTCCTTTTTAGTCCCTCCATTATTTTTTTGCATAAGTGACATGTTAGAAAACGAAAATTCCAAAGTAAAAGAACCAAAAAGGGGCTTTTTAAAGTATAGGGACCAAAAAAAAGCTTTTTTTAGTTTCTTTTTAGTCCCTCTACTCTAGAATTTCCGTCATCTAATGTGCTACATGTGCAAAAAATAATGAAGGGACTAAAAAGGGGCCAGATAATAAACTTTAGGGACTAAAAGGGTTTTCTAAAGTAAAGGGACTAAAGAGGGGCTTTTGTTAAAATAGAGGGACCAAAATGGGGTTTTAACCAATAAAAAACAACTCTGAACAAGCAAACAGTAGCAACAGACAAAAAAAAAAAGGAAAAAAGAAAAAAGATCTTAATTTCCCTTTTATTTTCTTGCCATAGAAAAAGAAATGAAGAATACCCTAAGAATAAACCTCAGAATACATGAAGGTATTAATGAATAAAGATAACAATGTCACAAGCAAAGATCCTACCATTCCATATCAGGCTAGTAGCAAAAAAAAGGAGTATATCGGTTATTTTCAAGCATGAAATGGTTGGTTTCACATGGATCTAGCATTTCATGGGCTGAGGTGGACTCCACTGAACTTGTGTTGCACCTAATCAATCCTATCATGAAAATAAAAACCCTTCCATCCCTTAAAGAAAACAAAACTTATAATGTCAAGGAAATAAACCAAACCCAAAAGTCATCTATGGCTGGCTTCTAATATCCTAATGTAGGATAAAACTATTACTTTACACAAACAAGTAAAAAGTGACCTCAATAGAGAGGATAGTCAGAAATCCAGTTTCTCAAACTTCTTTGTACTCTCGTTAAAAAATTATTCTTCACCAGGTTCTTTCATTTTCATTAACAAAAAGTCAGCATAAAGGATGAAAAGTATTACCTCCATGAATTCACCGTCCAGCCCTTTTAAAAGTTGTTGTATCTGCCAAAAAGGTACATAGATTCATAAGAACATTGTTAGGAAAAATTAGTCCAACACAAAAATATGCACTCAGAGAGTCAGAGTTTTAAAGCAGAGTAAGTACCCTCTTAACCTTGGTTAGTTTTCAGGCAAAAATATAGAAAACCAATCCCAAGGCTTCTCTATATTATATTTTCAATTTTCAGAGATAAATGTAATAAGGGAATTGGGAAAAAAATGGTTACAAGACTCTCAATAACTGTTACTGTTGGGACTTCCTATCAGAGGTGCATCACCCAACTGATGGTATCATTGACAATCCAATATTAAGTTATATAAACTTAGTTTCATCTGGTATGAAAAGATAAAATTATAAACATTACCTTTGCTACCTCTTCCACTTCAAAACCAATCAACAATAAGGCCTGTAAAACATGAGAAATTGAACTTTTATTTTCATATGGCATTAGAATTTTTTCCATGTTTGTTCAGTGAGAAATGTATTGTGATTGGCAATAAGTTAGGACGAATGACTTATTGGCACTTTAGTGTAGTTAAACAGGATTGGTTTGAAAATATGCATAAATATAGGGAAGAACTAACCAGAACTTACAGGTGGACCATATCTAGGATCATCAGCATTAAGAGGAACAAACTTGGAATCTTCAATCAACTCATTAGGAATTCCTGCAAAATACCTATAGGTTTAGAAGCACAATCCTACTCGGGGATTCAAGCAAAATTCAATTCATTGATCCACATGCATTCCATTGTGTCAGTGCTTCTACATCATTTATATCCATAAAACTACAAACAGAAATACAGAATGTACCAAATAAGTGAAAACCCACAAACCAAATACCCAAGAATCTGATTCTCAGTTTGTGTTCAACTAAACCCATAAGCCTAATGCCCATTTCAAGTCAAAATTAAGAAACTTTAATGGTAAAAATATACCTTCAGCAGACGCTGCTCTTGTTCGGTTAGTAAGCTTCAAATAATGACGGGTGGTGGCTTCAGCAGAAATTAGAGCAGAAACTGTCGAAATATGTGAAATTGCAGAAGGGTTTAATGAAAATGGAGGAAGCAAAGGAGCACGAGAGCTTGAGAGAAGATTAAGGGAGAATCCAGGACAGGAAGCCATGGCAAATAAGTTCGCTGGCTAGTTTGTTTTCTTTTCCCGATAAAACCAGTCGTGTGGACATGAATACATGATCATCTGCCTTCATGTTGATCCACTCAGTTCACCAATCATATACTGCCACGTCAAACTATTTACTAAATTTTTTTTTTCTAATTTTTCTTGTTGTGGTACTGATTAGTAAATATCAAAGGGCCAATAAATTCGAAAAAAAAAAAAGGCTTATAAATTGTTCAATATGAATAGCAGAAAGAAAAAAAAAATTTATCTTATTTACAGCAGATGTAACACTTCTGGTCAAATATTAAAATATGCAACCATCTCAGATTCATTTCATTAAATAATGTTCAAAAGTAGCACATCACCAGAGTTCCATACGATCCTTTTGGATATATTTACAGCATACTGAAAACCAGGAAACTAAAATTATTCCCACTTTAACATAAGATCCAGATATGCTGGAATGGTGACGATCACATCTCAGCAACCAGCATCTCTGCTTCGGTCACAGCTTCAGACAATGTGCCTCGAGTCCACCTCTTCAGCATCTCCAATGAAGCCTTAGGCTGGTCCATGGGAACCATGTGTCCAGCATTGTGCACCTGTTGGATTATCACACAAAAATATCAGCACCACCAATGGCAAATGATCACAAGATAATGAAGGAAAGAGGAAGGACTGTGAGAGAAAGGACCTTGAGGAAACCGAGAGGTCCATGAGTTTTCAAGATTCCAGCTTCAGAGCCATCAACTAAAAATGGAACCTCAGGAGATGCTACAAAGTCTTTCTGACCAGACCATGCCATAGCATGAACCCATCTTGAATTACCTGCTTGGGCAAAAATTAAAACCACCAGGTAAAACTCAAAAACTGTTGGATTTGGTAGATGCTACTTTGGTGTAAAATGATGCATCCTTAACTCAAGGTACATCTACTTTTCAGAGTATGTTAAAAACTTTACCAAGCCAGTTGCAGATGAGATCATATTCTCCAGCATATATAAGCAGCTTGATCCCATCTTC